GGTAATAGCAGTCAGTATCAGGGGCGGGGTGAGAGCGGAAGGGCGCGGAGAGTTGCAGCGTTAGTCGACCTTCGACCACTTTAGGCGCGTAGCCTGAACGTGGTTCTTCTATGCGCATAAGACTGGCTTTTGTAACCTAATGGCGGCCGCTTCTGCTGTCGCTAACAGGCGCTGGCCTAGTAGCTTAGGGTAGCTCGATGGGACCTTATAAATCACAGGAAAAGCTTCGTTGGGGTCCACACGATGTCCGGAATCGACAACATGCGCGAGAATGGCGCTGTTTATGCTCCTCGTTTCGACTTTTCCCAGCCATGCCGGGAGGTGTTCCCGTATTCTCTTTGATAAGCGCCGACTCGTGCGACCAATATAACCTGCTCCGCAGGAGTAAGTGAAGGAATAGATGCACATTGAGGTGGTCTGCGGTGCAATTTATGCAAAAGACTGCCCTGCAAACCACTTGTATCTTGTAAACTAAGGCGCCTGGAAGGGACACTGCATTCTATGCCCACGTCAGGAGTAATGCCAATAATCGTGACCACCTCACAAACTTAAAAGGTAAAAACAACCAAGCTGTGACCGATGGCTTTCGTTAGGCTGAGCTTATCTCGGAACTTCTGCAAAGTTGTCATACCACAGAACCTCCTTTTCCAACCCAGTTTTCTGCCACAGATAATCAGCAACCCACTTATAAGTACAGTATCATTTGCGTAACAGCTGGCTTTGAAGGAGTTGAAGAAGTTGAATCCGGTAAATTCACCCGGACCAGATGAGATTCCAGGTGAACTCCTACGTCAATTAGCTGAACCATTGTGTTTCATCTTTCGAAAATTGCATGAAGCTGGTGTGAACCTCCGGATCCACGGAAGTTAGCAAATGTCCGTTCTCACCTGTGAGGTCGGATCAGACTACATTCCACCAACTACCGGCACATCAGTCTCGCATATATTTGCAGTATGCTGATATAGAGATTGGCATTGCTTCTATGGTCCCATTTCGACTGGATACGATAAAACGACTGCTCCTCCCCCAAGTAATACAGTTGGCGCTAAAGGACAGGAAGGGTAAATATTCCCTTCTCCAAATCCCAACTCCAACCTAAACCTCAGCCCGTAACCCTGATTTGGCCTTAACCCCACGCTTAACTCTAACCCTACCCCTAGCTTTCTTGAAATTTAGCGCACCACCACCTTTATTATGGGCGGATTCCGTCTCTGTGTCCTGCAGAGGACGCCATATAATCAATCCCCACCTGTTTTTATAAAGTTGACAATTCACCGAAAAGTGTTACCGGTAAGGATTAAGTATATGCGCGGGGTAAGGAAAAACTGCGGAGTACTTCCTACTATATTTTTTCAGAGGTGGTGTTTTTATGCAGAGTTTTTAGTCAGCCCTTCGTCGGCAGGATTACATTCTCTGAGGAGCTAGTGCTGAAATGTCTACATTGGTTCACTGTCCTGCACACCCCACGCGTAATTCTTTAGTAAGAGGAAGGTTCAATCTAAAAAGGGTATTCTGCGGTTATGCAGCCACACCTGATGGACACAATACTGTTGACCTCCTTAATTATTTTGATTTGGTGTGATTACGTTGGCATGGTGTTGCTGTGCGTTGCGGTGTGTGTTCTGTTGGTGGCCTTGTTTCTTTGTTGTCGTGTCTACTTTTTTAGCCCAAAGCCGGTGGTCCTTCTTGACTTTCGACCCGCCGTCTCCTAATTTTCGTGTTGGATGTTTCAATGTTGGGGTTTAGAACTTCGGTTAGAGGTTAGGGTTAGGTTTGAAGGCTTAGGATTGGAGGTAGGGTTAGGGGGCTAGGGCTTAGGGTTGGGGTTAGGCTTAGGATTAGGGCTAGGGGTTAGGGTCAGAGGTTAGGGTTGGATCTAGGGTTAGGGGTTAGGACTAACGTTTAAGGTTAGAGGGTGGGGGTTATGGTTAGGGGTTAGAGCAACTATCTCTCAACCACCAAAAGTACAACCTCGCATTCCCAATAGTTACTCTTTGGAATACAATCACTTGACCCCGCCGCCTGTGCTTCCCCGGCCCCACCGGTCCAGCATTACAGGTGGCTGGGGTTTGTTTACATCAGATGCGGCTAAATAACCACGTCTAACTAAAAAAAAGTTCGGCGCGGAGAACAGTCAGATAATTAAAAAAAAGTACCCGAAATGATGCTAAATAGAGTCCATACGTCTGCCCGTAAAACACCAGTGTTAAAACGCTGACGAATTTGTTAAAGAACCGTTGGCATTTTCTCACCCCGCGCATATACTTAACCCTTATCGAGTTACCGTATGCGTTCCCACCAGTTAGTTTCCATTCGCTCATCAGCATGCAATTCTCCCTACAGGCCGAATGGTCTGTCTCCTGTGTGAACTGCGTCTCCCCCCTACGCAAACGGCAACCGAACAAGATGATCTCGATGCTGAGTACTCCAGAGTAGAACTACGGGCTTGTCTAGAGGCTTTGCTCTACCTGTCGGGTGCACTGAAATTCCTCACCGCATCCCCCAAAACTGGAGACATCTTCTGCCAGGAGACGACAGCTCACGCACTGACTAGCATTCATGCGGACCTGGAAGCAAAATCTGCCGAACTGGAGGCTCGTATTTCACTCAGTGGTGCCCAAGCCACACACGCCATGGTCTCGTGCACTGAGCTGGCGAAGAGCATGTACGATGTCCTCTTGCAGGTAAATCTGCTTTTGCCTGTGGTGCAGCTCTGGTGCCTAGACATACTTGATTGTCCTGGCTGGACGGTTTCCCTAATTGGTCACCGAACGACAGCTACTTATGTTGTGGTCGATATCTAAATGTATGCAACTGTCAGTGGAAAAAGATGATGCCGACGGTCGTGGTCGGAGTGGTGATGGAGGCGATGACGATGATAATGATGGCGATGAGGACGATGGCAGCGTCGTTAGAGAACGGTACCATTGTATATTCCCGACCGAAATCGACAGGACAACAGGCCCGTGGCCCAGTGGTTAGAGGTGTTGGACTTCTAACTAACAGGTCGCGAGTTCGAGCCCCAGGTGTTGCACACTCCGGGGTTGGATATGACTGGTTGAAGACGGCTAATAAGCCAGAAATGGCCATTCCAGTCGCCCTTGTCTTTGTCGGTAATAACATTCTGCCCATACTACATACAATCTACTACTACTTGGATCGAATTCCCGTCCCCTACCGTTGTGGACATCAGCTGAGGACCTTTCGCCCTAGGCTTCTGACTTCCGAGTGCGTTGGCTACGGATAACTTCCAATTCCCTATACAATTGCACGCAAAGTTGTAAATTCCAGGTCCTTTTAAAAAATAAATAAGGTAGTCCGATCTCCAGGCCAATCATTTTATTAGTCTCAGACTTCGGAACCAAGCCAGCGTCCACCCTCAAAGACCATAAAAAGAAGAGCGGTCCCACCTGAGCTGCTTTTGTAGTGGCCGTCACCGTCGCATGTCTGCCCTGGGCGCCCTTCGCCGGAAACGCGATCCCCTCATCAGAATGTGACAGCCCAGCAAGTGATAGGCGGGAAACAGATCTCAGTGTCGGTTGAAAGATGTGTTGTCCGAATTTCGGACCTCTAGTAGCCCCCAGTCTGTCTTACGGCCCGTCTGGAATTATCCTTTTGTCCGCGACGTCTAATTTACTACCCGCTCCCTTCCAGGGGGTGAGCAGCGACCTGGGACAGCTGGTCACTCCTCTGCAATACCGGTTGTTGACAATAGAAGCGAAGAGACGAGTACCAGGAAGTAGTCTTGAGGAAGGAGACACAACGGCCGCCACACATTCAAATTCGACGAGGCCGAAATTTTCGCAAGAGGTAACAACCGCGTGAGCCGGGAGTTACTTGAATCATGATTTAGTGGCCCCCAGTCCATTAACAAGTGCAATGACCTTCCCCTTCCATACTCGGTGCTGAGACTTCGCATAGGTGGAATAATTAGCCACGCGGGGAGCGCACAAGTGAACACTTTTCCCAACTCCAGGGTCGGTGCGTTAGATGGTCGAGCAATTATCACACCAGTATCCAACGCACGTGATGAAATTGCAGCAATTAACGAGGCGAATGTCGGCCATCAAACAGTCATCACACCAAGTGCAACGATCCCTGATGAAGGGGGGGGTGTGAATGTTCATAGGTATGCGGTAGCATGGCGACAGCCCCTTGTGCATGAACCACCCGTATCTGCTGTTGTCTCTGATGATGGGTTCGAGCAGGAATCCGAAACGTCAGGCTAATAAAGCTCTTGTCCCAGCGATCGTGTCTCCTTCTTTCATACCGGTTATTGCTCAGGTGTATTCGTGAGCACTCCTTTCGTGTTGCCTGACTTGCCATTTTTTAGAGAGATGTAACGAGTGGGGTCTGGTGAACGTCTTCTCTCGTAAAATATCCTGGTCCATAAAGTCCTATTAAGTATTACGGGCTTACGTCGTACACGCATGAGGATCAAGCCATCGGTACTAGTCGATTCCACGACCAATGTCAAATATCCTGCATGGCCTATGAATCTAGAATTCGGGACTCTTAACAGCTAGAACTAGTTCCTATTGGAGGAGGAAATTAAATGGCTTAATCGTCATATGAATACCATACAAATAGCAACTGAGTCGCAGATCGGCGATACCTCCATGCCTACCGTAACATAGTAAATGTTTACAATGCACAAATGTGCAGAGGGTGTGACGAAGATTTCCAAATAAAATGTAGACAACTGAGGGGATAGTGCTCTTTGAAACGGTACTAAGGATGAAGACTGCCGAGTTATCATCACTTTTATTACCTAAATTGGGGGTCTGAAAACCAGAAATTCAGACATGGCAGGTTGCTAAGGTACCACGTCAGTTGTTAACATCACGATGAGCGCACAACGACGGTAGCTGGAACGTTGTCGTGCGTCTCCCTCGCCCTCGCCACAGTAGGTGGGCTAAGTCATGAAATGTCGACCGAAATTCCGAACTGCGTTTTCGTTTCGAAAAGATTAATAAAATCGGGTTGTAATAATAATCATTGTTACCTCAGGATGCCGGCTTTCGAATGAACTTCCTTTCGGGTGCATGCAAAAACTACACTCTGTAAAAAAACGACTACTTAATTGGCATGAATTTTTCTCATTTATTTTCGATGCCCCTAAAAGTCCACTTATATTTCATAAAAACATGCATATAAATATTCATTCTTTCGCTAATTCGGTAGATAATTACGTCTTCTTCAAATCTTATACTCGAGGAAGGGTATAATTCAGTTTTCAAAAACTTTTCCAATTCCCGAATAATTTTGAACCCGCTCTACCGCTACACTTGGATTCAGGGTTTCCAAACTACAAACCGTATATCTTCCGCGTACGAATAACCACACATTTCACTACGGTAATAAAGCGGGACCACATAGGGTTCATAAAAGTTAGCAGTGGATTTGATCCATATTGCTAACTTTACGAGCCACATCGGTAAATGCAGACACATGACGTTTTATGAACGGCCACTTCACGGTATTAAAAAATCTCACAATCAGAAAAGTTTTTGAAAACCGAATTATACCCTTCCTTCGAGTATAAAATTGGAAGATGTAATTTCCTGCCGAATGAGCAAAAGAATGAATATTTTTATGCATGTTTTCCATGAAATATAATTGGACTTTTAGGGGCATCGAAAATCAATGAGAAAAATATATGCTACTTAAGTAGTCATTTTTTACAGAGTGTAGTCTTTGCATGCAGCTGGAAGGAAGTTCATTCGAAAGCCGGCATCCTGAGGTAACTGAAATATTATGGAATTATTTTGCGAGCTGACTAGTTTTACAACACTACTTAATTATTCTTTTCGAAACGAAAACGCATTTAGGGATTTTGGTTGGAATTTCATGAGTTAGCCCACCTACTGTCTATCGAGCCGATATCAATTCATCGAGATACCTAGCAAAACGGGGACAGCAGGAAGTACAGCATTTCGTACGATCCGTTTACCCAGGGAAATGCTATCGTTTGACACTAATTCGACCTACATTGTTTCTATTGTCTCTTCCCATCCTTCAAAACCCTCTACCATAGTCTATTTGAGCGACAAACCTACGAAAACGCAATGTACCCACAACACTTTTGAAGTCGTGTGAAGGAGGAGACTTATATTGAAAAAACAAAAAAAAAATCAGATATGTACATTAATCGTGGAAATGTCATAGGCCCATGTCAGGGCAATCCGTCGGCGAATCAGCCGTATACCCTGTCGAAGGTCCGAGGCTTGGATCTACGAAGAAGATCAGTGTGTAATTAACCATCAAGGAGCACCTACCGTTCGTTTGTACAGTGTTGTTGTGCTTCTGCACTCCTTTTGCTACAATGACCAGTGACTGTTTAAGTCGCTTTGTTAAAGACAGCTCTAGGTCGACAAAAGTTGCCTTGCCGTCAGCACTCCAGATTCCAAAAACTTTTACAGATGGAGTAGTAATGAGTTTAGTGAAAATGCATCCATGATGACCTTGTATGTCGTAGATCCTTAAAGGCCTTCCTTCATTTCCCGCCGTGTGAAGATTATCTGGAGACTGATGTACTTCATAAAAAGGGCGTAGAAGATCTTTTTGGTAATGTCGTCTAACGAACTTCCGCCTAGACAAGCCAGGTAGGAAAGCAAATGAACTTATTAATGAAAGCGGTCCGCACCTACTAGTTGACTGCAGAAGTGATTGTCCGCTAGTCTTGCGTTCAGTTCGCGGCATTCCGCAGCCGTTCTCAAAGGACAACCTACGGCATTCACATGAGGCCGAGTTGTCTCCGTGGCACTGGTGATCGGCCGTCGAATAACGGCCGAATCCAACTCCCGTTGACCGCTCAGCAAGCTCGGACAAAGCAATTATGTCGGAGAAACTGGGAGATTACTCCGTACGCGAATTGCCGAGCACGCAGCAGCAGTGAGGCGGGGAGACGCTAACTCTCAGGTGGCGGCACACTCGACGGGACCCGGCCATATTTTCAAATTTCAAGAGGCCGAAATCCTCGCAAGGGGTGACAACCGCGTGAGCCGCGAGCTGCTCGAGTCATGGTTCTCAGGCCCGCAATCCATCAACAAACACAATGACCTCCCGGTACCCTATAGCGTACTGCGATTTTCCCTGGGCAGGAGAATCAGTCACGTGGGGAGGGCGCGGGTGAGCAATTATCACGGTGACAGTGAGCTAGTTTGCCGAGCAATCGTCACACCAGCATCGAGCACGGATGACGAAATCGCGGCCATTAACGACTCGGACTCGGACCACCAAGCCACCGCCGCATCAATTACGTCCCCAGCGGCGATTGCGAGAACTGTTAATTGCAGTGCGCATACGGTCCCACGGCAGCCACGTGCTATAAATACTGCACTCCTGGTGC